GGCCAGCACCTTGCTGCAGATGAAGTCCACGAGCGTGGGCTCGGGCTCGCCGATGTACTCTATGATCTTCTTGTTGATCCAGGGACGGATCTTCTTCTCCATCAGCACGTTGTCGATCTGAACAACACAACTCACAATGTGTAACTGACGGAGACAGAGATAGAAGTAAAGGCAGAGGTAGGAACAGAAGCAAAGTATCTTAATGTTCCCACTGCAGGGCTCGCCCGCACCGCCACGACCACACAGAACACAGACGTGAAGTTGAAGTAATTCCACGTGCAGTCTGAAAAGTGTGGAGCCGGAGGCCAACTTTTTTATTTTCTTTTCCATCCTTTCCAAGGGATGGGAAGGAAAAGTACATTCGATTGGAGGACTTGCATAGATAAAAGGAAACATGCTTGTTATGAGCGTCTCCTCCATCGATTAAGGGTAGGCAGCACATTTGGCAGCGATCGCTTCGCCAACTCAGGGGATTCAGGTGACCGCTTGCTCGTTTGCGACGTTATTATATAAAAGGGTAGGCACAGAGGGGTACCTGCGCGGTGTCGAGCTTGTACTGGAAGAGCTGCTCCTTCTGCGTGGGGATCTTGTCGATGAGGCTCTTGATGTGTTTGCGCTTCTCCTCCGCGCACTTGTTCTCCTTCTCCTTCTCCTCTGTGCCTTCGCCCTTTTTGCTTTTATCTGATATCAAACAATATATAACATTAAAATGTCGTATTTTTTTACAAATATAATGTTCGTATACGGTTTCTTACCACGATTGGGTTATTTTCCCCATTTATATTTCCCCAGGTCCCAATATTTCGGCACATTTTTTTACACTACTGCATTATGTCGCCAGCCCGCGAAGATGTCGCAAGCAACTGTGCCGATATATCGAGAGCTAAAACCCAATCGTAGTAAGAAACCCGTATCTTACTAACATATAGTTGGCTGAAAGGCTATTTGTTTTAAACGCCATTAAGTTAAATATTCAGAAGAGCCATTTAAAGTTTACATTTTTAGAAAAAAAAAGCAAATCCTGAAACTAATTGAAATTGAAAGATTTTCAGAACGATTCTATATTAAAATTACTATAATTCTGCATACTTTATTCAATTCACTAACTATTAATACTGATTTTTAAGCGCTTCATACATGGCTACTTTAACCACACTTACATTTTGATTGTTTCAAGCGTCACGAAAGTACTCTGATCTTTATAAAACTAATGAATGAAATTATATGTTTGTATATAAGTGAATATAGCTTAAAATGGGTGTCGAAACAAGTAGCGTTTCAGCGGCGGATATCAGTATGAGGCTCACCCGCGTCCTTGCCGGCGCTCGGCCGCCGCCCGCCCTTCTCCTTGTCTGCCAAGTTACACAAATATTATAATTACACTTCACTTGTGTTTAAAATATAATGTGTATACATTGATTAGTTCAATGAGTACATAGAATATAAGATAAAATAGACACGGCGTGTGGCAACACTATACTTCCGGGAGACACTCACTCGACTATCGTCAGTAAGAAAAGAAGCAAAAAAAGTGCGAACGGCCGCCATTATATCCAAATAGTACTAATACATATTCGTCCCCTCCTATCGGTTTAACCCAAAGCTTCATCCAAAGTAACATTATCAACAACTTGTAAGCTACACGTCCTGGGGTCGAATCATGTAATTAATTTGTAGATGATTCTCGATTTTTTTTATTTCATAAGTACATAATTTAGCCGACTTTCTTACGGTGAAGAAAAACATCTTCTGCACAAATCAAAATTCAAAGATATGTGAAGTCAAACCACCAGCGTGGGTGACGATTAGTCACTTAGGGTAGGCTCAGTGAGGGTCATTCCCAACCGTCACCCGGCGCTGTCCCCACATGGACACAGATAAGTTTTATCCGTCCCGCCTTTTGCGACGAGGGGACGGTTGAAACTTATTTCATATCGGTTCCATTTGTCACCTTATTGGTGATAGGACTAAACGGTGGAACGGATGACTTTTCATTCTCACGTGGGGACAGGGCGTGGTGACGGTTGGGAACAATCCGTCAATGGGACACACAGTTCATGTGTAACCACACACAACAGTCAAGTGGCGAGAATTTCACGTTTTGATGAGTGTGGTGGCGGAGGCACAACTTTACTCCCTTTTCCTTCCCACTCTCTTACTTGGATGGGAAGTAAGAGAGTGGGAAGATGTGGATTTGACGTGGAGACATATAGGTAGAAAATCCGCTCTATGTGCGTCCCTGTCGATTAAGGGTAGGCAACGTGTCCGCTATTGCGATTGTCTATGGGCAGTCGTACTCGTTTGCCACCGTATTATAAAAAAAAAACAAAGCGTAGTGTTGTGTGTGTGTGTGTGTGTGTACGTACAGGAGGGCGGGGAGTCGTCGTCGTCGCGCGCGAAGGCTGCGTGCACGCGCCGCATGCGGCCGTCCTCTGCAACACACACCATTATATTACATTTTACTATAACTTGAAACTTCTAAGTTCGAAAGCCGCCAGATACAGCGTTTTTTTATTTATTCTTTTCTTTCATTCTTACGGCGAAGAAAAACATCGCAATGAAACCTACATATAACTGAGAAAAAGTTCAAAGACATGTGAAGTTAAAACGATTTTTCTAACGGTGCAATATTACCATTAACATGTGTGGAATATACAACATTAACATAGCAGGATGCAGTGTTGTGTGTGGGGGGGGGAGAGAGAGAGAGAGTGATACTAACGTATGGGCGTGTCGGCGGAGGGCGT